AAAGTTAAAAGCTTGTATGGCAGTGAGAATCTGTTCATTTGCTTTCCATCACTCCAAATCAAATTAAATGTAGCACTAAAAGCAAATACAATATTTTATACATTTCACCTAGATGAGGTAGGTTATGTTAATCTATCGTTATTTTGAGCTTTGTGGAAAAGTAATATATACTGCCAAAGCTATTTAAAAAATATCATTGACTATTTATCAGTAAATCAATATTGTCACGAATCACGGTTGAGGCAGAAGCAAGTGCAGAATATAATATTTAATATAAACAAACAGACTACAAAACAAAGACACTAAGACAACTTGGCAAAACACTGTGGCATGAGACAAAACACTGAGACATAAATGACGAGAGTCTACGACAACGAAAGACAAGAAACCAGTGCAGACAAAGACAAGATATACACATGAGTGCTCATTAACAAAACATGAATCAGGTGTAAGGTCATGTGACTGGTGGTGCAGTGCAGTGGCTGATGGGAAATGGAGTCCAGAGTTTCTTGATACGTGACAGAACCCTCCCCCAAGGGCGCCACACCCGGAGTGCCCAAAATCAGACGTCCTCCATCTGGAGGACCCGACCCCCTGGGCAAAAAGTCCACAGCAAAACCAGGAAGCCGCGCGGCTTCCACAATGGCACAGGGAGGCAGAGGGACGTCCTCGGCAGAGCATGAAAGCGGGGTGATGTCCTCCATGGGATAGAAGAGGGGTGCGAGGTACTCCACAAGGTTCAAGGAGGGAGCGAGGTTCTCTGCAAGGCCAGGGAGAGAAGCAAGGTTCTCCGCGAGGCCCAAGGGAGGAACGATGCTCTCCGCGAAGCATGAGGGGGGAACGATGTCCTCTGTGGAGCAGGAAGGGGGAGAAACATACTGAGCACAGCAAAGAAAAGGAGTGACATCTTTAGCGGAACAAGGAGGCAGAGCGACGAACTCAGCCTAGCAGGAAGGCAGAGCGACGACCTCAGCCGAGCAGGAAGGCAGAGCGACGACCTCAGCCGAGCAGGAAGGCTGAATGCGAGCCATAATGGGGAAGGGAGGGTGGGAGTTGGTCTCAGCCCCAACCACAGACTCCCCCTCCTGTCGGCGTGGCATGGCGTAGTCCTGTATGAACGCTGGGTGTGGTGTGGTGCATGGTTTGTCCCGCTGCGGCAGCGGGACAGGTTCCTCGGCTGTGCCAGGCAGCAGGACAGCTTCCTCGGCAGGGCTAGACCACAAGACAGCTTCCTCGGCTATGTCAGGCAGCAGGACAGCTTCCTCGGCTATGCCAGGCAGCAGGACAGCTTCCTTGGCTGTGCAGGACAGCAGGACGGCTTCCTTGGCTGTGCAGGACAGCAGGACGGCTTCCTCGGCCATGCAGGACAGCAGGACAGAGTCCTCGGCTGTGCCGGGCAGCGAGACAGCCTCCTTGGCTGGCAGGAGCTCCACCGTAGAGACCTCCCCGTAGGCCTCAGGCTGGAGCACTGCTGTCCTTGGTGCCCCCCCAAAGAGATTTCAGGGCTTGCCCTAGCAGTCTCTGGCGTGCACAGGTCTAGATCCGTAGGCTTGGACTAGATGTCAGTAACTTGAGACGCGGTTGGCACTTGAGACTCGACATGAACGTCCGGAACATGAGTCTTGGCAAGGAGCGGAACTCTGAGAATAGAGTCAGCAGACTTGGACATGAACATGATTCGTTTAACTGGATGAGTGGTGATTGCCCTGTCCATCTCCTCATAATAGAGGTTGAAGGGCGGGTCAGGCTGGGGCTGTCCATTGACTCTCCATCCCAGTAAGTGAATACCACGGAGTTGTCCGGGCTGTGAAAACTGATCCATAAAAAGTTCCCCAAACAGAGTGACATCATGGAGGGCTGGCGATCCAGTACTTACAAGCTGCTCTGCACAGTCACGGGCCAGACCGCAAAATCTCGATACCATGAACCCGATCCATTGTCTCTTATAAGGCTTGGGATATGCCTGGCTGCAAAAATACACCTGGCAGTCCATCAGAAATTCCAGCGGGTAGCTCCCCAATCCCACTGTCACTAGTGGAAGGTCGGCGTCATACCTCTGGGGAAAATGCACGGACAACAACGTGGCCAGTTTTCCGAGACAGTATTGACCAGCTACTCCTCGTTCTCCTGCTGCATCCATGTTGGGGCGGTGTAACTAGTTGATCTGCTGCTTCCAAAAAAAATGGTCTTTCGTTCTGTCATGTTTTGAGGTTGAGGCAGAAGCAAGTGCAGAATATAATATTTAATATAAACAAACAGACTACAAAACAAAGACACTAAGACAACTTGGCAAAACACTGTGGCATGAGACAAAACACTGAGACATAAATGACAAGAGTCTACGACAACGAAAGACAAGAAACCAGTGCAGACAAAGACTAGATATACACGAGTGCTCATTTACAAAACATGAATCAGGTGCGAGGTGGTCATGAGACTGATGGTGCAGTGCAGTGGCTGATGGGAAATGGAGTCCAGAGTTTCTTGATACGTGACAAATAACAGTTTGCATTATACAACTCCGATTCCAAGTTGGGACAGTATGGAAAATTCAAAAAGACAAACAAAAAGAGTCATCTGAAAATTCAATCACCCTGTACTATATTGAAAACACATTATTAACACATTATTTGATGTTTTACTTTGTGAATTTAAATCTCCTTTTCTTTTAATAACACTTACAGTATTAAGCATTTTGTCACTGAAGACACCAGTTGGTAAAGTTTAGCAAGCGGAATTTTCCCCCATCAATCCATTATGAATTTCTTCGGCTGTACAACTGTATGAGGCTTTTGTTGCCTCATTTTGGCTGCAGGACTGCAGGTGGGCCATGCTAGCAGCCTACACTCTTCGCTTACGCAACCCTGTGCTTGTAATCTGGGCAGAATGTGATCTGATGGTGTCCTGCTGGAAAATGCAGGGACATCCCTGGAAAAGATGACACCTGGATGGCATCATATGTTGCTCCAAAATGTGTACATATCTTTCTGCATTAATGGTGCCCTCACAGATGTGCAAGTTAGCCATGCCATGGGCATTGACACACCCCCATACCATGACAAATGCTGGCTTTTGGACCTGACGCTGATAACAGCTTGGATGGTCCTTTTCCTCTCTGGCCCGGAGAACATGATGGTTGTTTTGTCCAAAAACTACATGAAATGTTGACTCGTCAGACCACAAAACACAATTCCACTATGCTACTATCCATCTTGTATGAGACAAAACCCAGAGATGTCGGCGGTGATTCTAGACAGTGTTCATGTATGGCTTCTGCTTTGCATGGTAAAGCCTGTGGATGCAGCGTCAAATGGTGTTGGGGTTTACCAAAGTATTCCTGAGCCCATGTCAGGATATCCATTACAGACACATGATGGGTTTTAAGACAGTGACGTCTGAGGGATAAGAGATCACGCGGATTCAGAAGTGGTTTTCATCCTTGCCCTTTACGCACCAAGATTTGACCGGATTCCTTGATTCTTTTAATTATATGGTGCACTGTAGAAGGTGAAATGCCAAAAATCCTACCAATTTATCTTTGGGGAATGTTGTTCTCAAAGTGTTGGATTATTCGCTGACGCATCTGTTGGCAGATTGGTGAAACTCAACCCATCCTTGCTGTTGAAGGACTAGGCCTTTTTTGGAGGCTCCTTTTATACTATGATTAGACGATTGTCTCACCTGTTTCACATCACCTTCATATTTCAACTTGTCACATCGCTATTAGTCCTAAATTGTCCCTTTCCCAATGTTTTTGGAACATGTTGCATGCATTAATTTCAAAATAAAAGTTCACCTTAAAAAACTATGCAGTTGATTAGGTAAAACATCTTGTCTTAGGTAAAACATTTTTTGTTTAAATACAAGTCAAAGTACATTTACAAATTGCTACTCTTTGTTTGTATTAGCATTTTCTATACTGTTCCAACAGTTTCGGAATGGAGTTGTATTACTGGCATAGTAAAATGTTCAAATGTTACAGGAATTCTGAACTGTAAATCTGGATTTAAATGTAAAAAATAAAAATAAAAAAATTCAGCATGTGTTTCAAGCAGCAAGGGTTGAAATCAGTTTCTTTTTTGTTCACTTTAGGAAGTCATTTCCAGACATCATGATTAATCAGGGTGAATCAACAGAAAACACCCTCTGATTTTCTTTAACTACTCCCAGTTTATAAAGTGTACTGTAGGGGAAAAATTAAATAAAAATTAAAAAAAAATTAAAAAAAAAAAAAAATAGAAAAAAATAATATATAAAAAAAAAAAAAAAAAAAAAAAAAAAAAAAAAAAAAAAATAATATTTATTTTATATAAAAAAAAAAAAAAAAAAAATAAAAAAAAAAAAAATAAAAAAAAAAAAAAGAAAAAAAAAAAAAAAAAAAAAAAAATATAATTTATATATATTAAAAAAAAAAAAATGAAAAAAAAAAAAAAAAGGAAAGAGAGAGAAAGTAGGATATATATATATAATAATAAAAAAATTAAAAAAAAAAAAAATAAAAAAAAAAAAAACTTACAAAAAAAAAAAAAAAACAGACATTGACATACCAGATCCAGCCAGAACTTTGTCGATATTTTCAATTCCGCTCTGAATTCCTGGACATATCTGGATGGAGAAAAACGTTATAACATCAGTGATGCTTGGCTTTAGATCAAGGATCGGGAACCTATGGCTCGCTAGTCATTTGTGACTCTGTCAGTGATTGGCTATGGCTCAATGGCAGGAAAAAAATAGGAATCATGAAAGCTAGTGTCAATTCAGTTAAATCTTGACATATTACAATTAAAAATAATAATAATAATTACATAATTCATAATCGATGCCAGTTTGTCATGTGTACACCAACCTGTGGCACAACAAGCTCAAATTTTACTGGACAATGTGAAGCAGAGCCGTAATTTCCCGGTCTAATAAATTGGTTGAAAACTACATACTCACACAAACAGCCAAGGTGAAAAAATATTTATTCTTACCATTTGATGAAACTATCATAATTGTGGGTGCACGGTGGCTTAGTGGTTAGCATGCTTGTCTCACACCTCCAGGGATGGGGGTTCGAGTCCCACCGTGGCCCTGTGTGTACACGGAGCTTGCATTTTCTCCCCATACACTCCAGGCACCCCAGTCCAAAGACATGCATTGTAGGCTGATTGGTATGTCCAAAGTGTACGTAGTGTGTGAACGTGTGTGTGAGTGTGTCCTGCGATGGATTGGCACCCCGTCTAGGGTGTACCCTGCCTTACAACGCAGTTGGATAAGCGGTAAAGAAACTGGATGGATCATAATTGGTTAAATGAAGTCTAAGTGCCACCTACAGGCCTATTAGGTGGAGTTCAGGTTGTTAAGGCAAGAATGTCAAAAATGTCAAATGGCCTTAATTACATACATGCATTTTTTTTTTTTTTTTTAAACTATGCAATAATAGTAAAGATAATAACAACTATGATATAAAAGACATATATAAAAATATTTTTAAAATATGTTAACTTTTTTTTGGCTTTTATGGCTCTGCCAGCTGAAAAGGTTCCCGACCTCTGCTTTAGATACAAGGAATCATGACTTTAATATAATAAAGGTTCCTACCTACCCTTTCTCGGATCATCTCTGTAATGTGTCCACTGAACCCTTCAACAAATGGTTGGAAGAAGAAACTGGAAAAGATTATATGATGAGATTATTTATTTATTTATTATTATTATTATATTATTATTATTATTATTTATTTATTTATTTTTTATATTATATATGATATGCCATCTTCACAGCACAAGTAGATGGCTAAGTAAAGGCTTAGATCAACTAGATGATGTAAATGCAATAAATTGATTAATACATTAATTTTGCACTAAATTCTATGCAGTGCGTATTGTGCCCTGAACAAAAACAATTTCCTTAATTACTTGCAAGGAAAACATACACTATAACACTATATGGCCAAATGTTTGTGGATGCCTGACCATCACACACACGTGGTTTTTCCCCAAACTGTTGCCACAAAGCTGGAAGCACACAGTTGTATAGGATGTTTTATGCTGTAGTGTCACAGTTTCCCTTTACTGGAACTAAGAGGCCCTAACCTGTTCCAGCATGACAATGTCCCTGTGCATAAAGCGAGATCCATGAAGATATGGTTTACAAAGGTTGGAGTGGAAGAACTCATGTGGCCTGCACAAAGCCTGGACATCAACCCCAATGAATACATTTCGGATGAACTGGAATGCTGACTGTTCTAGACCTTATAGCATGACATCAGTTCCTGACTTCACAAATTGGAACTTGTGGAGGAATGGGCAAATCCCCATAGCCACACTCCAAAGTTTAGTGGAAAGCCTTCCCAGAAGAGTGGAGGTACACAGCAAAGGGGGACTAAATCTGGAATGGGATATTCAACAAGCACATATGGGTGTTATGGTCAGGTGTTCACAAATTTTTGTTCATAGATACAGTGGTGTGAAAAAGTGTTTGCCCCCTTCCTCATTTCCTGTTCCTTTGCATGTTTGTACACTTAAGTGTTTGAACATCAAACCAATTTAAACAATAGTCAAGAAACACAAGTAACACAAAATGCAATTTGTAAATGAAGGTGTTTATTATTAAAGGTGAAAATAATCCAAACCATCAGGGCCCTGTGTGAAAAAGTGATTGCCTCCTAAACCTAATAACTGGTTGGGCCACCCTTAGCAGCAACAACTGCAACCAGCATTTGCGATAACGTGCAATGAGGCTTTTCAGCGTCCTGGAGAATTTTGGCCCCTCATCTTTGCAGAATTGCCCTAATTCAGTTACATTAGAGGGTTTGGCATGAACGCTTTTAAAGTCATACCACAACATCTCAATAGTTCAGGTCACTTTGGCTAAGCACTCCAAAGTCTTCATTTTGTTTTTCTTCAGCCATTGGTTGGTGGACTTGCTGGTGTGTTTAGGATCATTGTCCTGCTGCAGAACCCAAGTTCGTTTCAGCTTGAGTACGAACAGATGGTCGGACATTCTCCTTCAGGATCTCTTGGTGACAGCAGAATTCAATTCCTTTTATCACGGCAAGTCTTCCAGGTCTGGCAGCAAAACGCCCCAGACCATCACACTACCACCACCATATTTTACTGTTGGTATAATGTTCTTTTATGAAATGCAGTGTTCCTTCTACGCCAGATATACTTGGACACACACCTTCCAAAGAGTTCCACTTTTGTCTCATCGGTCCACAGAATGTTGTCCCAAAAGTCTTGGGGTCATCAAGATGTGTTGTGGAGAAATTGAGACGAGCTTTGATGTTCTTTTGCTCAGCAGTGGTTTTCTCCTTGGAACTCTGCCATGCAGGCCATTTTGCCCAGTCTTTTCCTGGTGGTGAAGGCATGACGCTGACCTTAACTGAGGCAAGTGAGGCCTGCAGTTCTTGGACGTTGTTGTGGGGTCTTTTGTGACCTCTTGGATGAGTCGTCGCCGCGCTCTTGGGGTAATTTTGGTGCCGGCCACTCCTGGGAAGGTTCACCACTGTTCCATGTCTTCGCCATTTGTGGATAATGGCTCTCACTGTGGTTCGCTGATTCCAAAGCTTTGGAATGGTTATAACCCTTTCAGACTGATAGATCTCAATTACTTTCTTTCTCAATTGTTCCTAATTTCTTTGGGTCTCGATGATGTGTAGCTTTTAGGATTTCTGGTGGACCTTACTGTGTCAAGCAGCTCCTATTTAAGTGATGTTGATTGTGAACAGGTGTGGCAATAATCAGGTGGGTGTGGTAGGTTGAACTCAGGTGTGGACAACCACAGTTATAGTATGTTTTAAGGGGCAATCACTTTTTCACACAGAGCCATGATGGTTTGGATTTTTTCACCTTTAATAATAAACACCTTCATTTACAAATTGCATTTTGTGTTTACTTGTGTTGTCCTTGACTATTGTTTAAATTGGTTTGATGTTCGAAACACTTAAGTGTGACAAACATGCAAAGGAACAGGAAATGAGGAAGGGGGCAAACACTTTTTCACACCACTGTAGATTCTAGAGCGAGTATTCTAGAGAGAGTGTCAGGAAAATTGTTTGTTTGTTGATATTGTATTAGGTACTTTAGTATGTACTTTACATCTTATCAGGTATTTGGCACTGAGTATAAATACATTTAGAATTACCTTGCACCACCATGGAAATGTATTTGAACACCTCCCACATCGGCAGAACAGCTGACAGTGGATATGGAAAGGTGCTCTTCAGTGCTCTGAAACTCCAATATTGTTTTGAGATTGATGGTATATACAGCCAGATCGAACCAACCGCTATCATGACTGCATTAAAGCACATATCAGTACTACTTTAGGTGTATTACAGTATACTTTAAACTTTACAATGACATTATAATAAACACAGGTTATGAACACAGTGCATTTTTTTTTGTATATTACAGCCTCACATTAAAATGGATAAAATTAAATTATTTTGACCTATATGCAATAAAATAAAATAAAATCCCCCAGAATAAAAGTGTTAACAGATTAATAAACTATAAAACTGAATTTTTTATATTTACATAGTTACTCAAGTCCTTAAACTGACTAACTGACTTTAATTTGGTATCATATATACCACTGTAAGTAAGTAAGTAAGTAAGTAACTATATATACTTATATACATATATGTATTATAAATTACTTAAATATTACTCAAACACACCACCTTCAAGTACACTGAGTGGGATCAGCATTCTCTTGTACACCAGGCAGGGGTGAAATGGTATGGGAACGCAGGGTATTTCTCTGCCTCTGCTTTTTATATATTCATTCATTGTTGATTGGTGTTTATACATCACTGCTTTGTCATTCTGATTGAAATAAATACATTTCCAAACCCAACAGTAGATGGAGGTATTAAGTAATACTAGCTAGGGGTGGATTTTAGGTTTGCATGTGTGTGGGTTTTTTTTACCCCCTTAATATTAGGTAACATTTATCAAGTCAGCACATTGCATTGTTGTTGCCACCTCTCGTTCACCAGATCAATACCAAAACATTTTTAATTTATTATTTTATTTTAATTTTTTTTTACATTTAGAATTGCCTTTTCATCTTTTTAGCCTGTTAAAAGCTGTGTGTTAGCTATCCTGGACCTTGATATATCCAAAGGCTACAGATTTGTTAAGGTAGATGGCTAAGATTCAAATTTGTTCCATATCTGTGGAGGAATGTTTGAAACTGTAATGTCTCCTCTGCTTTTTCTTTTCTTGGATTGATTCATAACAGTCAAAATGATTTGTTTCTGTAGTTTTTGCCTACAGTTTTGGAATTGTAGACTGTGCATGTGATAGGTCTCTGATAGGAATAACAGTGTCATTAAAACATTACAATCTAGAAATTTAAATAAAAATGCCTCCCGCCACACTTTTTTTTTTTTTAACAAACTGCACCTTGCACCTAGATATTGCAAAGTACTATTTATGACTAATTACACTGCTTTTACAAAGAAAGTAAGCAACCAAACATTGAAACACCAGAGATTTTAGGCAGATGTAAGCAATGGCACAACAGCCCATACAGTGGACCTAGAAAAAAAGGGAGGGGATTAAGTTGGATGAATAAAAATGGGGGGTTACAATGTATTAAATATGGAAATAATTTAAAATTCATGATTTAATGCATATAATTAACAATAATATCACAAAACCTGCATCAAGCTCTAACTGGAGGCTTTAAACTGCAAGTCTCTCTTATTATATTGACTTGCATTCCTGAAATTTAATAAATCACTTGCCACCACATTATTTTTACTATTTTATTTTCAATTTATAACCTGGTTGGTTATAGACATGTAACTACATATTTTAATTACACTTATTACCATATTTAATCAATTCTAACCAGCCTTAATTCATGAATTGGCACAAAGTAGATACACTGTTCCTACACCTGAGTAAGTGTTACAAAGTGTTACCATTTAAAGTGATAGTTTTGTCCAATGTTACTGGTTCAATTTAGCTGTCATAAAGTCATCTTATAAGGAAGAGGATATCTAACACAAACCTCAAAGGTTATACAGGCCACAGTCTATTGACTGTCCACTAGCAAATACTTTAAACATTTTTACATTTCTATATATTATGAACGAAACTGAACAGGTATGTAGCGTAGTATAAAGTAACATGATAAAAACTCAAAGTTCCCCCCCAACCACATACACCACTTACATGATGCCAAACTCTGTGTTCCAGCGACCATTGATGGCTAGAGAGAGTCCGCTCACTTGCAGAGATACACCTGTTCCCTCTAAAAAAGCTACAGAGGGTTCTGGCAAATCGCAGCGCACCACAGTCATGCTGAGGAATTAGAATAGAATAGCAAGTTAGAGTAACAAAACTTTAAGACACAAGTACTGAAGACAAATCTTTCTATATAACTTTTTTTATCATCTGATTTTGGTCACACTGTAGGACATTAGACAAAAGTTCTGTTATAAAAAACAAACCCACCATATGACTACATTTGTTGACAATGACCATTTAGAAAGTTAATTTCTTTAACTTTGTAGCCTGTTTGTTCAAGCCCCATCGCCCATCCGGCTCGTGTGCAAAACTAGCTTTTATAGATTACGTCTCCGGTATTTAGCAGATGCCCCTATCCAAAATGACTTTAGCTATCATTCATTTCATTTTATACAACTGAGCAGTTAACGGTTAAGGACCTTGCTCAAGGACCCAGCAGTGGCAGCTTGGCAGTGCTGGGATTTGAACTCACAACCATTGGTATTGGTAGTCCAATGTTTTAACCACTTAGGCTCCACTGCTCTATATAAAGAAAATAGTAACAATATTTAAAAAGCTGCATGTCATCTTACAACGCAATAAATTGTCTATTCGCATAAGAAATTTGAGCATTCTCTGAGTCTCTTAAATAATAATTGAGGAGACATATTGTCTCAGGACTTGTTTGCAGACTGCTGGAACTCCCTATGAAAGGTAGTCAAGTACAGTGCTATGATTTCCTCTGGTTCTGTATATCTCACAAAACTAAATTGTTTCAGAAAGTAAAACAAAATCTAAAATACAACAAAGGCAACCTGAGTAAGCACAAAATACAGTTTTTAAATGGTAATGTTATTTATTGAAGCAAAAAGGTTATGCAGTACCAACTGGACCTGTGTGAGAATGTATTTGAACTACATTCATAATGGGGTTCAGCTGGACTAGATGCAACCAGGCCTGATTACTGAAAACCCTGATCAATCAAATCAGCACTTAAATAGAACTTTTTCAACAGCATGAAATTAGTTAAAAGCTCTTACCCAGAAAGACACTGTGCCAAAGTTGTAATTCCAGAATTTATGGGGGAAAAGGTGAATGAAATACATCATTTTGGGAAGGGTTACAAAGCTATTAAAACATTCAACATTCTACAGAGGAACTATTGAGTGCATCCTGAGCACCTGCATCACTGTCTGCATCGGAAGTTGCACCTCATTGGATCACAGGACCCTGCAGCGGATAGTGAGGACAGCTGAGAAGATCATCGGGGTCTCTCTTTCCTCCATCATAGACATTTACATCACACGCTGCATCTGCAAAGCCACCAGAATTGTGGATGACACCACACACCCCTCACACTCTTCACCCTCCTGCCGTCTGGAAAAAGGTACCAACGCATTCGGGCCCTCATGGCCAGACGGTGTAACAGCATACACCTCAATACTCAGAGACTGGACTGGCACACATGCGCGCGCGCACACACACACACACACACACACACACACACACACACACACTCTGAACTGAACACCATCCCACTCCCATTGCAATATTTGCACATTCCTGCATTGACTCTGTTGCATTTTGCTGCTTCTGTATTTATAAAAATATAGTATATAATAACTGCTATGTCCATATTTGGTATAAGCTAATCTACTGAAGACTAAGTCATAGCATGTTATGTTCACATTTATAACATTTTTAAATTATATTGTTAACTCTTGGCACCTATCTTTTGCACTACTTATTATATCAGACACTTCCACACTAAAACTGTGTACTGGTCGGCACTACATTGACACTTACTGTACCTATTGTCCTGTTTTAGTAGTATTGCACTATCCTGTGTTAGCACACGTTTGCATGTGCACTTTGTGTACAATGTGTAGATCTTATTTAGTTCTGTGTCGTCTCATGTGGTTAGTGTGTTGTTTTATGTAGCACCATGGGCCTGGAGGAACATTGTTTCATGTCATTGTGTACTGTACCCACTGTATATGGTTGAAATGACAATAATGCCATTGGAACTTGAACCCAAAGTCTCTGGGACCACAAAGAACCACAGTGAGAGCCATTATCTCTAAATCGAAAAACTCAGGACAGTAGCGAACCTTCCCAGAAGTGGCCAACCTTCCAAAATTCCTCCAAGAGCACAGCAACTACTCAGGAAGTCACAAAAGAGCCAAGGACAACATCAAAGGAACTACAGGCCTCTCTTGCATCAATAAAGGTCACTGTTCATGACTCCACTATCAGAAAGACACTGGGCAAAAACGGCATCCATGGAAGAGCGGCAAGGTGCTAACCCAGAAGCACATTAAGGCTCATCTGAAATTTACCAAAACACACCTTGATGATCCTCAAATCTTTTGCCAGAATGTAATGTGGTTTGATGAGTTTAAAATGGAACTGTTTGGAAAACAGGAGTGCCGTTACATCTGGTGTAAACACAGAACACAGAATCATACCTATGGTCAAGCGTGGTGATGGCAGTATGACGGTGTGGGGATGCTTTGCTGCTTCAGGCCCTGGGCAGCTTGCAAAAATTGAGGGAAACAAGAATTCTGAACTCTACCAGAATATTCTAAAGTTTAATGTCCGGTCGTCACTCCGTAAATTCAAACTCAACTGGATTATGCAGCAAGACAATAATCCAAAGCATAGGAGTAATGTCAGGCGGTAAGGTTGAGGCAGAAGCAATCGCAGATTTTTTAAACATTTAATATAAACCAAAGACAACTAGACAAACACTAAGACAACTTGACAAGATAATCAGGCATGAAACAAAACCAAACCGACATGAAAGACGTGAGTCTCAAACGACGAAAGACAAACAGAGAGTGCAGACAAAGACTATATATACACATGAGTGCTCATTGACAATAACGTGAATCAGGTGCAGTTGTGGTGCATGTGGTCATGTGGTGCAGTGCAGTGGCTGATGGGAAATGGAGTCCAGAACTCCCAGATCCCTGACAAGTAAGTCCTAGTCCTAGAAGTAAGTGAAATACTGCTCTCCAGTGATCACAAGTGTTTGGTTACAGTTATTGCTGCTAAAGGTGGCACAACCAAATTTTAAGTTTAAGGAGCAATTAGTTTTTCACATAGGTGATGGATAACTTTTTTTGCTTCAATAATTAAAAAATACTTGTATAGCATGTTTACTCAGTTTGCCATTATTTTGTGTTTTATTTCGTTTAAAGATCTAAAACTAATTAGTAAGAGATACACAAAAAGAGACGAAATCAGAAGAAAGTACTCTTTCACAGTACTTTGCCTTCGACATCACAAACCAAATACTTTTACCATCAAAAAATCAGGCTCTAACACGACAACAATCAAATACCACTGACGTGTAGAAACAACAGTTATCTAATAGTTTATTTAGTTATTTCTTCAAATGAAACATGATCTATTTTGATATGTTCATTTATATAAGTCGTCGGAGTAGTCGATAAATGTGTAGTGTTTAAATGTTGGTACAGTAAGACTTAAATTGCATTAGTAAGAAAATAAATCTAAATTAACAGAAAGTTATGTAGTTATGAGTGTGAGGAATATCAACTCAAAGACAGTTTTAATCTATACAACTGCTTTACTTATATTCTTCATAAATCAGTGAAATTGCTTTTGTTTTGTTTAGTTCAGGTTTGTTTTCATAAGTACATACATTCATCACTGGTTTAGGTACTTACTCATGCAGGACATAGTAAACTGAGCCCAAAACAATATCGACTGTCCCTCGGACCTCTGGGAGCTTCATTGTACTCAGTTCCTCCTGAAGCCAGTCAGTCATCCAGTGAGATACTACACACATATAAAGGAAAAGTAAGTACACATTTTGACATTTTGACACTCACACACACACACACACACACACACACACACACACACACACACACACAGTACATACATGCATAAGAACTCTAAACAATATTTACAATACTCTACATTTACAATATCTGAACACCAGAGAGACTTCTGAGGTGTCTGCAACTTGGACTCGAGTTGCACTTAAGTTGCAAAAAAAAGGCTTGCGACTTGACATGGACTTGTGAACGACTGACTCGAGACTTGACTTGGACTCATGGACAACTTACTCGAGACTGGACTTGTACTCGTGAACGACTGACTCGAGACTTGACTTGTGAAAAAAACAAATCATTTTGATTTGGCATTCTCAATTCCTTCTTTACGTGCTAACCACTAAGCCACCGTGCGCCCAGCACATTCATTTCCACACATATGGTGATCAGACTCTTGTTATTCTGCAATAAAATACTGTTCCAAAGACCTCCCCCACCTGACATTCATAATGAGTGTCCTGAATACATATATATATATATATCTTTAGGTCTACAGTGTCTGCATTAAAAATAGATCTTTGTTTGCCATAGCATATGTTTGCAGAGAGTTATTAAAGTTAATTCCAATTATTTGATTTAAAACAAGATCTTGGCAGCCTGTCACTGTTTTTAAGCCAGTCAAAAAAAAATCCTGATAATACTTGCGTTGTACACTTGTTTTGTACACACATCAGCCTTGTTCCACAACTAAAACCATATGTAAAACAAAAACAACAACAAAAAAAACAATCCTGCTGGCACTGATTTTCCAAATGATGCAAAACTCTGAGAGGGCAGGGGCAATTAGCAGGGGCAATTAGAAAACTTCTACCTTTAAAATTTATATTTAAGTATATTTTATTTATATTCAAATTTATGAAGGCAAATAAAACACTGTTCAGATTCTCTCAGTGACAATTTTACAAAGTCCCATGTGACTTCCTGGAATCTATATCAATAATTCCACCCAGGGAAGATCTATATAAATGATGAGGAAAAAGCAAGTACACCACGTGGAAAATGTTGGCTTTTTTGACATATTTGGATAAGCAAGTTTAAATTTAAAACAGTGTGTATTAAAACAGGTGATCCACTTTATAAAATGACATAAAATTGATATTTTGGAGTAATTTTCACAATTAAAATGAACAAAAAACAGATCAGTCACATAGAGAATGTAAGTACACAAGATGTTGGAAACGTTCCTTTGAGATTCTAGTCCACGTTGGCAATATCTGCATCATGCAATTCCTGCAGATTTTTCAGGTGCACTTTCATGCTATGAATATCCCATTCTACCCGGTGGTGTAGTCCTTATAAACGGTGGTTTATCCACTTTTAAAAAAGTTTTTTTTTTTTTTTTTAAAGTGGTTTGTTATATCTATCTATCTATCTATCTATCTATCTATCTATCTATCTATCTATCTATCTATCTATCTATCTATCTATCTATCTATCTATCTATCTATCTATCTATCTATCTATCTATCTATCAGGTGTTCCTAATAAAGTGTTACATGAATGTACTACTAAATACTCTAAAATACACTCACTGTCCACTTTATTAGGAACACCATCACCTAGGTACATTCATGCTGTTGTCCAATCAGCCAATTTTGTGGTATCAACACAATGCATAAAATCATGCAGATGCAAGTCAAGGGCTTCAGTTAAATGTTCACAGCAAACATATGGAGA